GTTTTCTTAGAAATTTTAGGTTTCCTGTACTAGAAAATGTCTTGAAATTTTTTCTCCTTATCCGTGAGTTTGATCTTGTGTGATTTGTTGTGTGCTGAAAATTGTGTTTAAGAATTCATTTTGAAATTTGAATTTGGAGCCAAACCGTGCATGTGCTAAACAAACAAGAAAGCATCAAAAGCATGTTGCATTTCCATTACATCTTAACCTAATTTGCTTGTCATTTGGAATTCAAATTTTGGATCCGGTTTTTGGTGCTTCAATTTAAGTGTGACCGAGAGTGTGTGCTTGAATATTGTGTAAAGAGAAAAAGGCAATCTCCTAAGATAAAAAAAAATAGAACAAAGTTTCAAAGAAAAATACAAAAGCAAAGTGATTAAAAAAAAGTGCTAAACCTAATTTCTAAAAGAAAAAGCCATATAAGGAGTTTTGTTCACAAAGTTTCTTCTCGGTTTACCATTGTTCATTGTATACATAATGTTTTCAGCTTACATCTCTTGAGTGTTTTTGTTTTATTGATCAATTCTAGATCCTTTCAAGGTTACTTCTTTCTTGTCCTAGCCAACTCTTGTTCTTTGTCATCTATATTGTCTTATACTTTACTCTACTCTTGTCCTCTTTAACTCTCAAAGCTCTTTGCTATTTATGTTCATTGTGGAACTCAAATGTGACCTATGTTTGACCTAGCCTATCTCCTTAGAAGCTAGTTCTACAAGGGTCATCAAAAGAGGACTAAGAAAAGGAGGAGGAAGGGACAAAGGTGGCTCTCGGATTTGGCTACAAAATCACAAACACCAAACACTTGTGGCTGGAAATTTTTTTGTGGCTGCTGGACTTGTTACATCCGTGGAGATCCTTGGAGTTTCAAATTGATTTGTATTTGAATTTAAAAAAAAAAAAATAGAGTATTAGTGACGGATTTAGGGACCAAATTTTCCTTACTACTTTGAATTTTGTTGCAAAATTGGTCACTAATCCATCACTAATTTTGGTGGCTGTTTTTGATTTATCTTTAAGCCACTTGTTTTCTTTTGTTGTTCAGCTTTGTAATTACCTTGTAATTGGCCATTTGTAGGAGTGTCTTTGGTACACAACCATCTCTCCTTAGGTTATTCATTTTCGTTAGAACTTGGTGAGAGTGGTCCTTGATTGATCTTTGGTATCTCTCAAGCTCTCACCCTAGGACACGTTTAGATAGTTTAATTCTTGCAATCATATTTGTTTTAATTTTCTTTCTTTCGTCTAGCATATCCTAGTTCACAAATCACAAAAATAATTTTCATTGAAAAGTTTTTGGTAGAGATTAACTACAAGGGGGATTAGTAATTTTTACTTGAAGAGGCTTGGTTATTAAGTGACTCTTAGTAGCTCACCTCCCTCCAAAATTCAATTTGTATACTTAGTTCCCCAAGTACTTAGTCTTAGCCTTGTACAAAAATTGCTTTTACAACTTCTCTCTTTAAAAGAAATCTTTCTCCTATAATGGAAGAATTTTCCACTCCTCAAAGTGATAGTAATTCAAGTGATTACAATGACATGTCAAAAGTAACACATGAATTAAGATCACTTAAAATTTGGAAAAAGCAAGAGGCTAAACAAAGACAAAAAGAAAAACTTGAAAGAGAGGCTCAACTTGCTCTTTTAGAGAAGGAAATTCGTTTGTTAAAGGAGAAAGAGGAAAAATTACACCACAAGCACCGAAGTAGACATAGCTCCCAAACTCATAGTTCAACCCTAGGAGAGTCAATGCATGAGGATAGCCTAGCTTTAGGTGATCACTACCAACAACATCCTAGGAGGGTTCATAGGACCCCCAAGGCAAGGGAATCTAGGGTAGATCTCCCTTATTTTCATGGCAAAGATGATGTTGAGGGGTACCTTGATTGGGAGATGAAGGTTGAACAAATCTTCACTTGTCATCAAGTGAGTGAAGAAAGAAAAGTATCCCTAGCCACCTTAAGCTTTCAAGGTCATGCCATGTATTGGTGGACTTCTCTTGTGAGGGATAAGCGTCTCCATAATGATCCTCCAATTCAATATTGGAATGAATTAAGGAGTGCCTTAAGAAGGAGGCATATTCCCTCTTATTACACTAGGGAGCTTATCAACAAGCTCCAAAGACTCCATCAAAGAAACATGACTGTGGAAGAGTATAGACAAACGATGGAGTTATACTTAATGAGGGCTGGCATTAGGGAGGAAGAAAACATTACCATTGCTAGATTTTTGAGTGGTTTAACTTTTGAGATAAGAGATAAGGTTGAGCTTCTTCCTTATAGAGATTTAAATGATTTGGTTCAACTTTGTATCAAGGTTGAACAACAAAATTTGAGAAAAGGTTTCAAAACAAGCTCATACTCATCTTCTTACTCTAAGGTTGACTACAAGAGGGAGGGCAAGAAAAATGATTTTGAAAAGAAAAATACTTTTCCCTCCAAAAATCTAGACAAGGGTAAAGAAAAAGAAAAAGACAAAAAAACAAACACCTCACACACTAGCACTAAGTCTAGTGATATAAAGTGCTTTAAGTGTCTTGGGAGAGGCCACATTGCTTCTCAATGCCCTAATAAGAAAGTGATGATTTTAAGGGGCCAAGACATTTATAGTAGCCAAGATGAAGCTACTACTTCTTCATCTTCAAGTGAGGATGAAGAAGAAGCAAGTGAGGGAGAGTCATGTGAGGTCACTTACCCTTACAATGGGGAACTTCTTATGATGAGAAGGGTCCTCAATAACCAACCTAGTGATACACAATCCCAAAGAGAGAACATCTTTCACACAAGATGTAACATTTCAAACAAGGCTTGTTCTCTCATAGTGGATAGTGGATCTTGGTGCAATTGTTGTAGCACTAGGATGGTTGAAAAGTTGGGTTTGACTACCACACCCCATCCAAAACCTTATCAACTTCATTGGCTTAATGATGATGGGGATATGGTGGTCAACCAACAAGTGGAAGTAGAGTTTTCTATTGGCAACTATCAAGATAAAGTTAAATGTGATGTAGTTCCCATGGAAGCTTGTCATATTTTATTGGGTAGGCCATGGCAATTTGATAAACAAACTCATCATGATGGCCTAACCAATAAAATAACTTTCACTCACAAGGTGAAGAAATTTGTGCTTCATCCTCTATCACCTTCACAAGTGATGGAAGATCAAGTACAAATGAAGACTAAATGTGAGCAAAAGAAAGGCAAGGAAAAATAAAAAAAAATCTAAAAATTAGTGAACAAGAGGATTCTAGAGAGACTAGTGTTCCCTCTCTAGAGATAGTTCAAGGCGAGATTTTTGATTCAAAACCTTTACACAAAACCTCTCTCTTCCTTGAGCCATCTTCTCATATCCTCATGTGTAGAGGAACACTCACATGCACTGCCACAAGTTCTTTGGAAACTTCTTTACCTCTTGAAGTTAAAAATATTTTGAAAGAGTTTGATAATGTATTCCCTAGTGAAGGCCTAGTGGGACTTCCACCTTTTAGGGGGATAGAGCATCAAACAGATCTTGTACCTGGGGCTAGTCTTCCCAATAGACCAGCCTATAGGACCAATCGACAAGAAAGTAAAGAGATAGAGAAGCAAGTACAAGAGTTGTTGGATAAGGGTTGGATTCAAAAGAGTCTAAGCCCTTGTGTTGTGCCTGTAATTTTGGTGCCAAAAAAAGATGGAAAATGGAGGATGTGTTTTGACTTTAGAGCCATCAACAACATCATTATAAAAGTTATATCTAAGATAATTTAAATCTCAACCTTCTCCCACTACATTAGTGGAGGAATAAACTAGAAAAAGAAAAAAACGATAACAAAGACTTTTGATTACAGACCAAAACTTATAAAGACTAAAATCCAAGAAAAAGAATATTTCAAATTATATAACCTATGTTCTAGGGGATTACAACGTCGATGAGCCTCCTAGATCAAACTAAAAATGATATATTAATAAGCCATTATTTTGACAAGTGCCTAAAAATTATATTTTACACAAACATTACACTACAAGAATCAGGGGACTCATGCTACAAACATGACGAATGAAAACCCAAGAGTCATTGGGTAAGCATAATCTATATATCTATTCATTTTTGCATCCTGAAAGGTAGGTCCGTGCCAGCATAAAACACTTCTCTTTCTTCCTTATGTACTCTTGGTATCGAAGGAAAAAGTAACCAAGATAATCAAATTCAATTGGAGACATCTTTGCCTGCTTATCATTTAAATAAATAAATAAATATATATATATATATATATATATATATCAACTTGTCATTCAAGCAAGAAAACATAGCCAGCATAAAAGAGGAAATATATTACCTGAATTAGACCCCACAGTGCCCAGAAAATGTGAGAGGCAAGGGAAAATGTATTTGCTTCAACATACAAAGGAGTATACACCAAATAAAAGAAAACGGTTCAAATATATTTTTAGTCTCTTAATTTCTAGGTAAACTTGCTTTTAGTTTCTGAAACTAAAAATTAATCTTTTTTCTCAATAACTTGTACTCAAGTTTTTTTAGAAATTCTGTCAAATAGTATTTTACAAAATCTACCTCTATTTATGAAAACAAAACATTAAACACAACTGATGTTACATAACTGTATCAATTAATCATTTTCAAACATATTATTAATGATTAAAGAAACTAAAATAAGATTTTTGAAAATTACTTAAACTAAACTAAAAAGTACAGTTATAAATTTGAGTAACCAAAAATAAATCTATCCTAAATTAAAAAATTAAAAACATATTTAAGAAGAAAAAAAATTAAAGACAAATAAAAATTTCTTATTTTATAAAGACTAAAGTTTTATAAGATAGTATGGTAGTTTAGGAAAGAGGCATAGGACTATAGTGATAAGGAGAGCGCGAGTTCAAATTTCTCCATTTAACAAAACATTAATTACTTACATTTGTCGATAAAAAGAAATACTTAGAATACATTTAAGCCAAGCGTAGAAATATACCAAAACAAAAGATTTATAAAAGTTATATCTAAGATAATTTAAATCTCAACCTTCTCCCACTACATTAGTGGAGGAATAAACTAGAAAAAGAAAAAAACGATAACAAAGACTTTTGATTACAGACCAAAACTTATAAAGACTAAAATCCAAGAAAAAGAATATTTCAAATTATATAACCTATGTTCTAGGGGATTACAACGTCGATGAGCCTCCTAGATCAAACTAAAAATGATATATTAATAAGCCATTATTTTGACAAGTGCCTAAAAATTATATTTTACACAAACATTACACTACAAGAATCAGGGGACTCATGCTACAAACATGACGAATGAAAACCCAAGAGTCATTGGGTAAGCATAATCTATATATCTATTCATTTTTGCATCCTGAAAGGTAGGTCCGTGCCAGCATAAAACACTTCTCTTTCTTCCTTATGTACTCTTGGTATCGAAGGAAAAAGTAACCAAGATAATCAAATTCAATTGGAGACATCTTTGCCTGCTTATCATTTAAATAAATAAATAAATATATATATATATATATATATATATATCAACTTGTCATTCAAGCAAGAAAACATAGCCAGCATAAAAGAGGAAATATATTACCTGAATTAGACCCCACAGTGCCCAGAAAATGTGAGAGGCAAGGGAAAATGTATTTGCTTCAACATACAAAGTTTCAAGATCTTTCTCGAAAGTGGGCCCAAGCTCAAGGAAAGCCCATCACATTGTTTAGTTGGGCTTTGACTCAAGCCCAAGTAGAATAGGAGTAGTGTAGGGTTGGGCCTTAGAGCCTTGTATTTCTTTAAGGCCTTGTATTTTCGGCCATTTAGATTAGGATTTCATTTGATGGTCATTTGAATTTAGGGTTATTTAGGTTGCATGTGTATTTGCATTAGAATGTAATTAGTTTCACATTTGGTATGCATTTCGGCCATGTGCAACACATGCACATGGTGTGACCGAAATGCAACTCAAATGGAAGCTTAATGACATTCCAAATGAGGTGCACATGGTGTGATTCGGTTTAGGCTCCAAATTTGAATTTTGAATTCAAATTTTGGGCGCCTAAGGTTAAGTAAACCATACCATGGTTTCAGTTAACCTTAGGCTAACCCATGGTCACTTTAACCTAATTATTTCCTATAAATTCCAAGTGGCCGAGAATTGTATCACTTTTGGACTAATACATGAGAATTCTTCTTATTGAACTCTCCCTCTCCGAAAGTCACTCCAACCTAGACTCTACCCTTCTTGAGCTCCTCTCTTTGTAGAGCTAGGCTAACTTCTTCTTCTTCGGACTTAGCTTGAGCAATCATTGGTCACATTGGTGCAACTTGGAGTCTTCTTCCTTGACAATATTCCAAGGAATCCGAGAAGCATTGAAGTGTTCTTGAGAATTCACAAGTGGATTCTCATCAAATGATGAGAACCTTCTTTGGCCATCATGAAAGTCGAGTACCCCTCGAACTTCTTCAAGGAATTAGACAACTCGAATATGCATTCGATCATGGAACCGGACAAGTCGTCACAATATTCGACCCATCATATACTGGTCAAGATTAAAACGGTAAACATCCATGTCATCTAAGATTAAGCAGAATCCCTTGATTACCAACTTCTTAATCCAAAAGTCCCGTTAGGCCTAAATATATCACTATAAATAACAGGTATATGGGACACGAAAAGACAGGTATGATCAATCAATGCTACAATATTTAATATTTATTGTTCTGATCTGAATACTCACTTGAACCTTGGAGTGTTTTTGCTGGTACCCTTCCCACTTTTGGGACCCATGGTATGGACATTTGTTACTCCTATGATTGAAGATCAAGGTCAAGGACAAAGAGGAAGGAGAGTGGAGTGTTTCTTACATGAACAAATCTTAATAATAACTTCATATCTATTTTCATGTGGAATTCTAAAACCAAAGTTACTTAGAGATGTCTTAAAGAAAAATAATCAAGGACCGAATGGAAGTTTATTCGTTTTCCTTTTCTTGAAATCCTCCTACAAATACAAATATACAAAAGTTGTGAGAGAAAGCATTAAAAAAGTAAATAAAGATATAATATATTTTTAGTTGTTATAAAATAATTGTACTTTAATTTTAATTCTTATAAATTTTTTCTTTACTTTTCTTTTTTTTAAAAAAAAATATTTTATATCTATAATTTTAATTAAATATCAACTGACTACGTTTCTATATTAACGTTGTACGTTTCTATGTTTTTTTTCTAGCTCACTAAAATATATCTACCTTAAATTAATTGATTAATCATTTAAGGATAGAATTGACAATTTCAAATTTGGAAAATGAAAACCAAAAAAAAATAAAAAATTAAAGACCTAAATTAAAATTTAATTATTTTATTTGAACAAAAATCAATGATTTCATTTTATAAAAGAGTATACACCAAATAAAAGAAAACGGTTCAAATATATTTTTAGTCTCTTAATTTCTAGGTAAACTTGCTTTTAGTTTCTGAAACTAAAAATTAATCTTTTTTCTCAATAACTTGTACTCAAGTTTTTTTAGAAATTCTGTCAAATAGTATTTTACAAAATCTACCTCTATTTATGAAAACAAAACATTAAACACAACTGATGTTACATAACTGTATCAATTAATCATTTTCAAACATATTATTAATGATTAAAGAAACTAAAATAAGATTTTTGAAAATTACTTAAACTAAACTAAAAAGTACAGTTATAAATTTGAGTAACCAAAAATAAATCTATCCTAAATTAAAAAATTAAAAACATATTTAAGAAGAAAAAAAATTAAAGACAAATAAAAATTTCTTATTTTATAAAGACTAAAGTTTTATAAGATAGTATGGTAGTTTAGGAAAGAGGCATAGGACTATAGTGATAAGGAGAGCGCGAGTTCAAATTTCTCCATTTAACAAAACATTAATTACTTACATTTGTCGATAAAAAGAAATACTTAGAATACATTTAAGCCAAGCGTAGAAATATACCAAAACAAAAGATTTATAAAAGTTATATCTAAGATAATTTAAATCTCAACCTTCTCCCACTACATTAGTGGAGGAATAAACTAGAAAAAGAAAAAAACGATAACAAAGACTTTTGATTACAGACCAAAACTTATAAAGACTAAAATCCAAGAAAAAGAATATTTCAAATTATATAACCTATGTTCTAGGGGATTACAACGTCGATGACAGAAAGGTAAGAAAATAGGGAAAAATAATGACTCATCACCGAGCTCTAAGGAGTTTGGACGAAATTTTGGAGTCCTGAGAAATGAGCCCCAGCTATCTATTTATAGACTTCAGAAAGGGTCCAGAACGGCCCGTTCTGGACATGGCCGTTGTGTGTAAATTTTATAACTGGAACAGCCCGTTCTGAATTTGGAACGGCCCGTTCCAGAGATAAAAATTAACACATCCTTTGGTGGCCTCGAACGGGCGTTCCAAACAAGTATTTTTAGGTCTTTTCTATAACTTGGAATGGCCCGTTCCAGTTTGGGAACGGCCCGTTCCAGTTAAAGTTTTAGCCCTCTTTTGAAGAGTTTGGAACGGCCCGTTCCAATCTTGGAACGCCCCGTTCCGATCCTGGAACGGCCCGTTCCAATTTTGGAGCAACCCGTTCCAAATTAGGGTTTTTGCCCCTTTTTGAAACTTGGAACGGCCCGTTCCAAATGGGAAACGGCCCGTTCTGATTTTGGAACAGCCCGTTCCAGTCTTCTAAAATCAGCTTCTTTGGGCTTTTGGGCCTTCTAGAGTCCTGTCCCGTTGTTTGCATACCCCCGGACGAAATTGGGTGTCTACACCTATTTTAGTGAAAAACTTCATGGGGCTGCCTTGAACTACCCTACCTATGACAAGGAGTTATATGCTTTAGTTCGTGCCCTTCAAACGTGGGAGCATTACCTTGTGACCAAGGAATTTGGTATTCATAGTGATCATGATTCACTTAAATATTTGAAGGGTCAACATAAGTTAAATAAGAGGCATGCAAAATGGGTTGAGTACCTTGAGCAATTTCTTTATGTCATCAAATATAAGAAAGGCTCTACAAATGTAGTAGCTGATGCTTTGTCACGAAGACATGTTTTGTTGAACATCCTAGGTTCTCAAATACTAGGGTTTGATGACATCACGGAATTGTATGAGAAAGACCTTGATTCTGCTAACTTTTATTCTTTATGTATTCAAAAACCTTATCAAGGGTACTATATTTCTGAGGGGTATCTTTTTAAAGAAAATAAACTTTGTGTACCCCAAGGATCTATTAGGAAACTCTTGGTAAAGGAGAGCCATGAGGGTGGGCTCATGGGGCATTTTGGAATTGAGAAGACTCTTTCACTTTTGAGAGAGAAATTCTTTTGGCCTCATATGAAAAGAGATGTTCAAAGATTTTGTAGTAGTTGCATAGCTTGTTTACAAGCTAAGTCTACCACAAAACCTCATGGACTATACACCCCCTTGCCAATATCCAATGCTCCTTGGGTAGACATTTCCATGGATTTTATCCTTGGTTTTCCTAGGACCCAAAGAGGGAAGGATTCCATCTTTGTGGTTGTGGACCGTTTTAGTAAAATGGCACACTTTATCCCATGCCACAAAGTGGATGATGCAAGTAGTATTGCTAAATTATTCTTTCAGAAAATTGTAAGACTCCATGGGTTACCCAAAACTATAGTCTCCGATAGAGATGTTAAGTTCCTTAGCCATTTTTGGAAAACTCTTTGGGCAAGGCTAGGAACTAAAGTTCTATTTTCTACCACATGTCATCCCTAAACTGATGGGCAAATTGAGGTAGTAAATAGGTCTCTAGGGACTATGTTGAGGGCAATCCTCAAAGGCAATAAAAAGTCATGGGATGACTATCTTCCACATGTGGAGTTTGCCTATAATAGAGTGGTTCTCAAAACAACTAACATGTCTCCTTTTGAGATAGTTTATGGATTCAATCCTCTCACCCCTTTGGATTTATTGCCCTTTCCAGATGTTGCTTCCTTTATTCATAAAGAAGGTACATCTAGGGCTGAATTTGTTAAAAAATTGCATGAGAGGGTTAGAAGTCATATTCAGTCTCAAACTGAAAAATACCAAAAATATAATAATAAGGGTAGAAAGGAAGTTGTCTTCAAGGAAGGTGACTAGGTTTGGTTGCACCTTAGGAAGGATAGGTTTCCTTCCAAAAGAAAGTCCAAGCTTAGTCCTAGAGGAGATGGACCCTTTCAAGTCCTTAGGAGAATAAATAATAATGCCTATGTCCTCGATCTCCCTTCTGAATATGGTGTTAGTCCTAGTTTTAATGTTTCTGATTTGTCTCTCTTTACAGGACTGGCTACCCAAGAGGAGGATGCCTTGGATTTGAGGACAAATCCTCTTCAAGAGGGAGGGGATGATGCAGGAGGCCCATGGGCCAAGGGCCCAACTACTAGGGCTATCGCAAAGAGGATCCAAGAGGAGTGGGCCCAAGCTCAAGGAAAGCCCATCACATTGTTTAGTTGGGCTTTGACTCAAGCCCAAGTAGATTAGGAGTAGTGTAGGGTTGGGCCTTAGAGCCTTGTATTTCTTTTAGGCCTTGTATTT